ACGTGCCCGACTACCAGTCCAAGGGCCGCCTGGCTTTGCCCCGCGCTCACCGCGCGCTGCGAGGCTGGCGGATGCTGCGACCGTCGCGGACGCGCCGTCCGCTGCCGTGGGCCGCCTGCATGGGGATCGCCCAGCGCCTGTGGCGAATCAGCGGCAAGAAGGAGATGGCTCTCTACTGACTGTTGATGGTGGACACCCACTTGCGACCTGGGGGGGCCTTCCGCTTGACAAAGGGCCAGGTGCTGCCGCCACAGGCCCAGATGCCCAAGGTTACGATCCACATCAACCCCGACTACCTGAAGAGGCTGAGCAAGACGGGGGAGATGGACGAGATGGTCGACATGACCAGACCATAGCTGGCGTCGCTCATCGTGAGCCAGGGCCAGCCGACCGATCCGCTCTGGACGTTCAAGATGACAGAGGTGAAGAAGGCCTTCGAGGACGCGGCCAGCTCGTTGGATCTCGACGGGCCCAAGCCAGTGCTGTACATGGGCGGGCACAGCGGGGCCTCCATCGACCGCTTCACGGGGGGGATCTCGTTGCTGGAGGTCCAGCGGCGAGGGCGCTGGAGGCAGCGAGGCCTGGTCCAGGCAGTCTGGTCGCAGATGACGACGGCAGCGCGGGCCTACTGCCTGCGCGCGGAGGTCGAGCTGCCCGCGCAGCTCAACAACGTCTGAATGAGAGGCTTCGCTCGCTCCCGTCCCGTGCCAAATCTGGTCAGTTCTTCTTCGTCGAAATCTTCTCGGGTTCTGAACACTTCTCGAACACCTTGAGAAAGCGTGTATATATATATATATTCTTCCTCTCGGTGTTTTCTTTCGATGCGTTGCAGGGCCCAAAAGATGACCTCCTTCGGCCCGCTGTCCTGAAACGTATCATTCGCATGATTAGGAGTGGCAAATGTCTCGGGCTTCTTGCGGGCGTTCCGTGCATGAGTTTCTCCATTGCGCGGGGTGGCCACGACGCCATCCGCAGCAGTGAACACCCCCTCGGCCTTCCCTCCCTCCCGCCTCCTCTCCAAGTCGTGGTAGACGAGGGCAATGGGCAATGGAATGGTACAGGTGTCTATCAAGATTTTTAAAGCTTGTCAGCAGGTGCGTGTTCCTTTTCTATGGGAGAACCCACAGTCATCCTACATGTGGAAAGTAGACTCCGCGCGGCGTGTTTTACGTTGGCATGGTGTCCAAGACCTGATTACTAATTATTGCGGCTGGGGTGAGCCCTGGTGTAAACCAACCAGGTTTCGCGTTTTCCTGCTTCCTCGGGCCAGCGATTTTTCTAAGCGTTGTCGACCTATCCGCGGGCTTTGCACGTTCTCCGGGAGGAAACATCAGATCCTCCAGGGCCGTGATGGCCTCGGTGTCCATTGGGCCGCTCGGGCCGCCGCGTATCCCAAACCCTTGTGTAATGCGATGGCCGACGTGTTCCTTGACGCCGCTTTAGATCGCGTCCTTGAGCAGAATCTCCGCTCTTTCCCCTTCCGCCCCTCCCCCCCAACCCATTCGTCTTAACACCAGTGTGCCGTGCTCCAGAGAACCGAGTGCGATCTTTGGATGCTTCGAAGTTTGGCAATGAGATTGGTTTCAGCTGTCCGTTCGCTGCTGCCGCCCTTGTCGCCGCCGCTTTCGTTTGGGTCCCACATGCGGATGACAGATATCACTGCTCTGAAAATTAAGGACGGGTGGGGAACCTCAGACTTGTCCTGCGAACGTGTAGGGGGTGCAGCACAGAGTCCGTTCTATTTCGCTCAAGCTTCCCGCCCTGTCTCGTTTCTCGACTTCCCGCCCTTGCTCACGGCGGGCCGCAAGCACAGACTTGAGCGGCAATGAGATTGGTTTCAGCTGTCCGTTCGTTGCTGCCGCCCTTGTCGCCGCCGCTCTCGTTTGGGCCCCACATGCGGATGACACATATCACTGCCCTGAAAATTAAGGACGGGTGGAGGACTTCCTGATGATGATGATGCTGTTGATGATGATGATGATGATGAGGATAACGATGACAACGATGATATCGATGATGCTGATGCTGATGCTGATGATGGTGATGCTGTTAATGATAACGACGGCGATGGCGATGATGATGATGATGCTGATGATGCTGGTGGTGATGATGACTTCAACATCTATTTGTGTTCTTACCATATTCAAGACAACGATTCATTATCTACAGGTTTTCACTCTGTCGTCCGAGGGCAGATGCCCGTGCGCTCGCACTCGCTGACATCATAACACAACCACGTTTTTGCCACTCTGTCAGACGAAATCGCGCGGGCCGCAAGCGCGCGCGTGTCGAACATCAGCACCCTTCGGGCGCCTGCTGGCAACACGCGCGCATTTTTCGCGCGCGCGCGCACGTCGAGTCCTTCCAACGCACAGTGGGCCCAGGCACCTATACACGTACGTGCTCAACCGCACACGTTGGCCCAAACGTTCGGCAATTCACGTAAGGGCTTCCGTTTTTTTTGGCAGCGCGCACTTCCTCATCAGTCGCGCCTGTGCAATCGTTATCATCATCGCCCGCGTCATCCTTGTCATTGCCATCGCCATCGCCATCGCCATCATCATCATAATCATCATCATCATCACCACCATCACCATCACCATCACCACCATCATCATCGTCATCATCATCACCATCACCATCACCATCACCATCATCACCACCACCACCACCACCGTCGTCGTCGTCGTCGTCGTCGTCGTCGTCGTCGTCGACGTCGGTCGGTCGTCGTCGTCATCATCATCGTCATCATTATCATCACAATCGCCGTCGTCATCACTGTGATCACCACCGCCGTCATCATCTTTATTGTCGATGTCGTCGCCCTCGTCAAATTCCTGCGCGCTCGCATTTCCTCGTCATCCTCACCAGCACCATCTTCATCATTGTGATCGTTGCCACTCTCGGTATCATCACCGTCACCATCATCTTTATCACCATCGTCGTCTTCGACATCGTCCCCACTGTCGTCATGGACGCCATCATCGTCACCATGATCATTATCGTTCTCGCTGACTGTTTTGAGTTTTGTCAGCATGCATCAAGTTGCGGGTTGGTGGGTTGGTAGGTGGGATGCTTGCGCGAACATTGGAGGTGGTCACTTTCGGACGCGGCCATAATTATTTATACCACGTAGATTGCAGCAAGCAGCTTGCGCCGCATAGCTTGCGCCGTTTACCTTGCAACAGTTATTCTTCCTTCCATGCTTCACACATGCAGGATGATGTAATAACTCATAGTTTTGGGATCCATGCTGGCAGATACCTCTAGAATGTGAAACATGCAGTCGTTTCAACAGTTGCTAGGAACGTTGCTTGTCAGGGAGGGCATTCCCACAGAGCACCGAGTGGTGTGTCGCGCGATTTTTTTTTTCAGATTGTGGATGGCCCCGAGTATGAATGCTTCTCGTGCTTCCCCGGCACCTGGTATTGGAATGCCCCTCTGCTTTGTCCGCGCCACCGATGGCCCACTACTGCCTCACTGATGGCCCATGAATGCCCCGCTAATGCCCCCACTATTGGCCCCGCTAATGGCCCGCTAATGAAAATGGTCCTGGAAGATGATTTGCTAGTGACTTCTGGCCCACGGATGGCCCACTAATGATATTTGAATTGCTCGCTTCTCATCTTTCTCTCGGGCTGTCGCGATTGCAGAGTTCATTCTTGCAAAATCAGATGGTCATTAGCGTGTCGCGTCGCAGGGCCGTCGCCGCAATTTCGAGAGCCATTCGCGTGAAACCATTCGTTCATCAGCGGGCCACTAGTCGAGTCCGAAGGTGCTGTGAGGCGGGGCCCCTCGCGATCCCTTGGGGCGCCTAAAGGTACTTGCCAGGTCGCTTCCCTGGGGCGCCCGAAGGCACCTGCCAGGACGCTTCCTTGGAGCGCCCAGCGTTAAGTAGGGCCTTTCCTTCTACAGGAGTAAAAATCAAATCATTCAAAACACAGTCTGGGAAGATCTGCTTTTTGGACTACCTTTCAATATCATTGCTGAATATTTGTTTGACTCCTCTTATTCTTTCGCCCCAGATCCGCCTGTAGGGGTGACGTGCCCGACCTGAGCCCAGCTGTGCCTGCCAGGACGTCTTCTTGGAGCGCCCGAGCCGTCGACGCCGCGCGAGCGTGTGCACCGCACAGCCCGCGGATCCCCCGGAGCAGCCACGGGCGCCAGAGAGCACCTGGCGAGCGAGGCGCACTTGCCTCTCGGGTTAAATAGTAATATCTAACTACGTACATATGTATATGTATATAATATATATATATATATGTATATATATATATACATATATATATATATATATATGTATTTACATACACATACATACATACATACATATACATATATATATATGGTTCTTTTTTTTTCAAATCGTAGAATGATGGTGTGGGGACGACTTTGTTAGTAGTATTTTTTTGGGGGAGGGGGCTATTTGGAGAATTTTGGGAATCTTTGTTATTTTCCCTCTGAAATCCGCCTGTAGGGGGCACGCCCGACCCAACTTGGGGCTCGCAGCTGGGTGCCACGTGGGTTTGATTACCGCGCCGCGCGGGCGCCCGCACCGAACAGCCTGAATGTATCTATCTTGTGATCGTGTTTTTTATTCATTGTTTTGCCCATCGGCGCGGGCCCTCGCACCCCCCCCCTCCCCTCCTCCCTTGTGGAGTAGACCTTGGCTGTTTTTTGGCGCCTGTTTCGAGCGGGTGGAGTCTCCCCCACAGGACGCACGGTCCCAAATTGTCGCACAAGCAGAGGTCTGGAGCCAGACCCCTCCCCCCCTCTTTCCGCCCAATGTCGAAACGCTGGGAAAAAAAGCTCACATTTATCAGTATGAATGCACATCTCCCTTCTCACGCACCCCTCCTCCTGCTCCCTTTCCTCCTTTGCCCTCCGTTCCTCTCCCTCCTAGTGCTGCTCCTGCTCGTCCTGCTTGCGTGCCCAGACCCTTGGTTCGGGTGGCGTGGAGACGTGGGCAGGCTGCGGTAAAAAAACCCGACGCCGAGCAGGAGCGGCTCGGACGGCCAGTTCTACGGCGACTGCGCCGCTGGACTTGCGTGCGTGCCGCCGGCGGAGGGCGCTGCCCCCGGCGCTCCCAGCGTCTGCCACAAGGTTTGCGGCACCTTCGGGGCCGACGAGGACGTGGTGACCAGCTTCACCTGCAGCAGCGGCCAGACGTGTTCGGGCCAGGCCGCCACGCCCTGCCGCGAGGGGGCCGGCGAGTGCTTCATTTTTTATTGCGATGGCGCCGACCGCCGGCTCTCGGACGCGCAGGGTGAAGGGAAGCAGTGCGGCACGAGCGGCTCGGACGGCCACTTCTACGGCGACTGCTCCAGCGGACTCGAGTGCGTACCGCCCGCGGAGGGCGCTGCCCTTGGCACTCCGAGCGTCTGCCACAAGGTGTGCGGCAGCTTCGGGGACGACGGTGACGAGGTGACCGGCACCTGCAGCACAGGCCAGACGTGCTCGGGCAAGGCCGCCACGCCCTGCCGCGAGTGGGCTGGCGAGTGCTACCTGTATTGCGCCGGTGAGCCCGTCAAGGAGGAAGGGCAGCAGTGCGGCACGAGCGGCTCGGACGGCCAGTTCTACGGCGACTGCGCCGCTGGACTTGCGTGCGTGCCGCCGGCGGAGGGCGCTGCCCCCGGCGCTCCCAGCGTCTGCCACAAGGTTTGCGGCAGCTTCGGGGCCGACGGGGACGAGGTGACCAGCTTCACCTGCAGCAGCGGCCAGACGTGTTCGGGCAAGGCCGCCACGCCCTGCCGCGAGTGGGCCGGCGAGTGCTACCTGTATTGCGATGGCGCCGACCGCCGGCTCTCAGACGCGCAGGGTGAAGGGAAGCAGTGCGGCACGAGCGGCTCGGACGGCCACTTCTACGGCGACTGCTCCAGCGGACTCGAGTGCGTACCGCCCGCGGAGGGCGCTGCCCTTGGCACTCCGAGCGTCTGCCACAAGGTGTGCGGCAGCTTCGGGGACGACGGTGACGAGGTGACCGGCACCTGCAGCACAGGCCAGACGTGCTCGGGCAAGGCCGCCACGCCCTGCCGCGAGTGGGCTGGCGAGTGCTACCTGTATTGCGCCGGTGAGCCCGTCAAGGAGGAAGGGCAGCAGTGCGGCACGAGCGGCTCGGACGGCCAGTTCTACGGCGACTGCGCCGCTGGACTTGCGTGCGTGCCGCCGGCGGAGGGCGCTGCCCCCGGCGCTCCCAGCGTCTGCCACAAGGTTTGCGGCAGCTTCGGGGCCGACGGGGACGAGGTGACCAGCTTCACCTGCAGCAGCGGCCAGACGTGTTCGGGCAAGGCCGCCACGCCCTGCCGCGAGTGGGCCGGCGAGTGCTACCTGTATTGCGATGGCGCCGACCGCCGGCTCTCAGACGCGCAGGGTGAAGGGAAGCAGTGCGGCACGAGCGGCTCGGACGGCCACTTCTACGGCGACTGCTCCAGCGGACTCGAGTGCGTACCGCCCGCGGAGGGCGCTGCCCTTGGCACTCCGAGCGTCTGCCACAAGGTGTGCGGCAGCTTCGGGGACGACGGTGACGAGGTGACCGGCACCTGCAGCACAGGCCAGACGTGCTCGGGCAAGGCCGCCACGCCCTGCCGCGAGTGGGCTGGCGAGTGCTACCTGTATTGCGCCGGTGAGCCCGTCAAGGAGGAAGGGCAGCAGTGCGGCACGAGCGGCTCGGACGGCCAGTTCTACGGCGACTGCGCCGCTGGACTTGCGTGCGTGCCGCCGGCGGAGGGCGCTGCCCCCGGCGCTCCCAGCGTCTGCCACAAGGTTTGCGGCAGCTTCGGGGCCGACGGGGACGAGGTGACCAGCTTCACCTGCAGCAGCGGCCAGACGTGTTCGGGCAAGGCCGCCACGCCCTGCCGCGAGTGGGCCGGCGAGTGCTACCTGTATTGCGATGGCGCCGACCGCCGGCTCTCAGACGCGCAGGGTGAAGGGAAGCAGTGCGGCACGAGCGGCTCGGACGGCCACTTCTACGGCGACTGCTCCAGCGGACTCGAGTGCGTACCGCCCGCGGAGGGCGCTGCCCTTGGCACTCCGAGCGTCTGCCACAAGGTGTGCGGCAGCTTCGGGGACGACGGTGACGAGGTGACCGGCACCTGCAGCACAGGCCAGACGTGCTCGGGCAAGGCCGCCACGCCCTGCCGCGAGTGGGCTGGCGAGTGCTACCTGTATTGCGCCGGTGAGCCCGTCAAGGAGGAAGGGCAGCAGTGCGGCACGAGCGGCTCGGACGGCCAGTTCTACGGCGACTGCGCCGCTGGACTTGCGTGCGTGCCGCCGCGGAGGGCTGCCCCCGGCGCTCCCAGCGTCTGCCACAAGGTTTGCGGCAGCTTCGGGGCCGACGGGGACGAGGTGACCAGCTTCACCTGCAGCAGCGGCCAGACGTGTTCGGGCAAGGCCGCCACGCCCTGCCGCGAGTGGGCCGGCGAGTGCTACCTGTATTGCGATGGCGCCGACCGCCGGCTCTCAGACGCGCAGGGTGAAGGGAAGCAGTGCGGCACGAGCGGCTCGGACGGCCACTTCTACGGCGACTGCTCCAGCGGACTCGAGTGCGTACCGCCCGCGGAGGGCGCTGCCCTTGGCACTCCGAGCGTCTGCCACAAGGTGTGCGGCAGCTTCGGGGACGACGGTGACGAGGTGACCGGCACCTGCAGCACAGGCCAGACGTGCTCGGGCAAGGCCGCCACGCCCTGCCGCGAGTGGGCTGGCGAGTGCTACCTGTATTGCGCCGGTGAGCCCGTCAAGGAGGAAGGGCAGCAGTGCGGCACGAGCGGCTCGGACGGCCAGTTCTACGGCGACTGCGCCGCTGGACTTGCGTGCGTGCCGCCGGCGGAGGGCGCTGCCCCCGGCGCTCCCAGCGTCTGCCACAAGGTTTGCGGCAGCTTCGGGGCCGACGGGGACGAGGTGACCAGCTTCACCTGCAGCAGCGGCCAGACGTGTTCGGGCAAGGCCGCCACGCCCTGCCGCGAGTGGGCTGGCGAGTGCTACCTGTATTGCCTCTGACATGCTGGTGCGTTCAAGCGTGTTTCATGTCCAGGGACTTGATTCCACAGGATTTCTTCATTCCGCCAACCATCAGAGGAAGGGCGCTCGGGTGCCCCATGAGGGCGAGCAGCGCGGAGGGATGAGGAGGGGGAGCGACATGATGCGGTGATGGGGGCATGAGGAGGGAGAGGAGCATCAGCATGAGGTGGAGAAGTGAAGGGGGTGTGAGGAGGAGGAGGAGGAGGAGGAGAAGGAGGAGGAGGAGGACCAGTGTAAACCCAAGAGTCATCAACGATTTTGGAATTAACCCTGCCTCCAAGCTCCCTCTTCATAGGCCCCATACAACGGTTCGTTTCCATTGAGGAAACTGCTCTGTTGGAAGACAACCGTTTGAAGATCCTGAAGCATGCCAAAACATTGTTCGCGGGATTTCAACGCCACGTGCCAACCTGGCTGCTTCGTTTTGGCGATCTGGAATCGTGCCATAACGCCATTTTCTGTTTTCAACACCGCGAATCAACATAACTGTTGCACCCGCATATTCCTGAATCCTTCCAAAACGCAATTTTTGGTACGTTGATCATGGGAATCTGTGAAACTCTTGCAAATGTTTAAAACGAATGCGCGGCGTTAAGGCGAGAGCCACATTTTGAGAAGGAACCTCCCTCAATCCGTGAAGCTCTTGCGAATTTGTACAAATAATGTGCGCGGCGCTAAGGCGAGAGCTGCATTTCGAAAACCACCCGCCCTTAATCCGTGAAATTCTTACAAACGTTTCAACGAATGTGCGCGGCGCCAAGGCGAGAGCTACATTTTGGAAACCACCCGCTCCCAATCTGTGAAACTTTCGTATTTGTTTAAACGAATGTGCGCGGCGCTAAGGCGAGAGCCACATTTTGGAAACCACCCGCCCTCAATCCGTGAAGCTCTTGCAATGTTTTACACATAATGTGCGCGGCGCCAAGGCGAGAGCCCCATTTGGAAAACGATCCGCCCTCAATCCGTCAAACGCTTGCATTTTTTTTCAAAGACTGTGCGCGGCGCTAAGGCCAGAGCCACATGTCGAAAACCATCCGCCCTCAACACGCGAAGCTCGTGCAATTGTTTTAAAGCGAGTATGCGCGGCGCTAAGGCGAGAGCCATATTTTGAAAACGACCCGCCCTCCATCTGTGAAACTGTTGCCACTTTTTGAGTTTCAGAGTCAGATGAGGAAGCCTCAAGCGAAACGCCTGGACCGCCCTAAAAACTTGTCTCGGGGTGCGACGGGGAGGAGTTATCTAATAAGGAGAAGGAATGGAGGAGGAGGAGGAGGAGGAAGAGGAGGAGGAGGAGGAGGAGGAGGAGGAGGAGGAGGAGGAGGAGGAGGAGAGGAGCATCAGCATGAGGTGGAGAAGTGAAGGAGGTCGGGGGTACGGCAGGTGCGTGCGGTGTCGACGTGTCGGCGACCCCAACGCGGTCGCTCAAGATACTTCGACTCCGCCAGTGGCTCGGCATCGGCCGACATGGAACGATCCGCGCCACTAGAAAGCCGCGATCGTTCGAGGTCGAAGGATCCACGCTGTGCCAGAAACGATGGGCCTATTTTCCACCAACACCACCATAAGTTGGAGGGGGGAAGGAGAAAAAGGAGGAGGATGAGGAGGAGGATGAGGAGGAGGAGCCCCTCCCCCTCCAACTTATGGTGGTGGTGGTGGAGGAAAACAGGCCCATCAAGAAACCAGCGCCGACCAGGCGGAGACATCAGGGCGCAGGGAGCCCTAACAGTGCTACCAGCCACGGGCGGAGTCCCCCAGGGCCGGTCTGGGATCTTGCCACTCGAGGAGCAGCCCCGATTGAGCCCAGATCGCGGCTTCCTCCTCAGAGTGAGCGGTGCTAATGGGGGCAGAGAGGGCACACCCTTGGAATGGCCAACCGTGCTCTGCTGTGCTGGCGTTGCCAGTGATGCTCGCAGGCGAGCGTGCGCGTGCGCCTCCCGTGCGTGGCGCTGGCTGGGCCGCGCGGGTGCTCGGTTGCGGGCTGTGGCTTCGGCGGGCACGTGCCTCGGAGGGCGCCAACTATACCCCTGCACCGATCCTGGCCAGGCCGATCCTAGGCCCAGGAGTGGTGCATTTACCCTCCTGCCCTAGCCAGGAGGGCGTATACACCGGTCCAGGGCCCAGGATGAGGCTGGCCAGGATCGGCGCAGGTGCATACTTGGCGTCCTCCTGGTGCCCGAGAGCGGCTGGGAGCAATTTCTTGATACTTCGAGTGCCTCCTGGAGGTCCTCTTGGAGCCCTCCTGGGGCGTGGGGGCCCCCTTTGGGCCTTCTGGAGGGCATCTTGGGCTGCCTTTGGGGCCATCTTGGCCGTCTTGGATGCGTCTTGAGACCTTCTTGGAGCTCTTCTTGGGCCAGCTTGGCCATCGTGGAGGCCGTCGTCGTCGCCTTGCCGTCCCGGGGACGTTCTGCCTGGACTCTGCGCGCATCTCCAGGTGGGCGGCGGGAGTGGCCGAGGCCCCGCGGGGAATCATAGGAAACGATCCTCCTTCTCCTCTGCCTCCTCCTCCTCCTCCTCCTCCTCCGCTTCCTCCTCCTCCGCTTCCTCCTCCTCCGCTTCCTCCTCCTCCTCCTCCTTCGCCTCCTCCTCCTCCTCCGCCTCCTCCTCCTCCTCCGCCTCCTCCTCCTCCTCCTCCTCCGCCTCCTCCTCCTCCTCGGCCTCCTCCTCCGCCTCCTCCGCCTCCTCCTCCGCCTCTTCCTCTGCCTCCTCCTCCTGCTCCTCCTCCTTCTCCTCCTCCTCCTGCGCCTCCTCCTCCGCCTCCTCCTACTCCTCCTCCTCCTCCTCCTCCTCAAACACCCCTGTGGCAAGCCACAGGAGGCCGCGGATCTAATGGCCTCCGGCCCATTCCGCCGCCGCCGCTGCGGTCGAAGGTATAGTTCTCACCGTTCCTCGCGGGACCACCAGTAAGTCATCCATATGGACTTTGACGGCTTCGATGTCTTCAGACATGACCTCATAGAGTAAACGCCAAGACAGGCGGAGAGTTCGGAGACATTGATATCCGTCGGTCGTTGAAAGTAGGTACTTTTGAATGCCCAAATCCCACTCTACTGGTGCCGCCTTCCTACTTTAAGGGTTGATTGGTTTCCCTTTTTCCTTCCTCTTCAGAGGGTGGGCGGAAGCCCAATCTGCTTCCAACGCCTTCCTACTTCATGTTATTTTCTACTTCTTCCGACGACGGGTAGGCATGGGTGTGTACGCATCGACCCCCAACCGCCCACTGATCGCCGATAGGGGTCTGATAGCCCCCACCCCTCCCAGGAATGTGCGGATTTGCTATCGGGGGGCTGTCGCCGATTTATCGGTGATGTATCCCCGGTTCCGGGTGGATGTTTGCCCCCCTTGTGCCAGTCCCCTCCTATCGTTGCCCCTCGACGGGGCTTCTGGTACACTGATGCTTACTGTAAGCGTTGCACGGCCTCCTGAAGGGGCCCTCTCGCCAGGTTTTGGGGGGCGGTCCGGCACTGGCTCGGGGGTGGGAAGCCGGTCCCGGGGGCAGAGGCCGAGACATCCAGGGTCCACGGTGTGTTGGGGGCGTCCAAGTTGGGGGCGGCCAGGATGGGGGTGATGACTAGGGGGGTGGATATCGTGGCGGGGGCCATGATATCTCCCCTGGTTTCATGGCGCCTCTTCTTATTTCAGTACGTCCCCGGCCCGCCCCTGGGCCGCGCACGTGCCTCGGGCCATGATTTGTACCCCCCGCCTCTTGGACACAAGGGGGGAGTGGTGACTAGGGGAGGTGGACATCATGGCGTTCGGTGTTCGATCATGGACCCCTTATGAACTGCAATCCTCCAGCTTTCGCACCAAAAACCGACGAAGACCGCCGAAGACCGTCAGAAAACCGCCGTAGGCCGTCAGGTGACCTCCAGAGTACCGCCAGAAGACCGCCCAGGGCTGGTAGGTAACAAGGGGTCCATCGTCGAATACGTAACATGGAGGGGGCCATGATATCTCCCTAGATCTCCCTCTTCGTCTTTCGGTGCGTCCGCTGGTCCCCGCCTCGTCCGCGCACATGCCTCGGGCCGTGATATGCGGACCCCCCTCTTGGACCGCCCCACCTTTTGGGGGCCCCTCCCGACTGTGAAAGAGGCGCGGTATCGGAGGTTATGGGTGGCGCCCGGGGGCGGGCCCTGTCGCAGGGTCCACTACGAGCCGACCGACGCGATCCGATGTCGATCCCGGCTGGCCCGATCCGACTCGATCCCGGTGTTCCGACGACCCGCTCTGCGGCTCGGTGCCCGCGCGGCGCTGCCGTGCACCCTGGCGCGGCCGACCGTGTCGGATCCCGACCCCGTGCGGGTGCGGCCGGATGCGATGCACCTTCCGGTCCGATCTGCTTTCCTGATCCTGCCGCGGCGGTTCCAACACCGTGTGGTGACGCACCGTGCGGTGACCTCGGAACCCCAAGAGACCTCACCGCACGGTCCGTCACCGCACGGTCTTGGGACCCTGGAAGCCCCAGTCGCCCGAGACATCCTCGGAGAACGACCCAAGACCCAAAACCGTGCGGTGACCCCGAATCCCCACCGACTCACCACACGTCGTGATCACTACCCCGTCTGGGGGCCCCCCGGTGTACCACCGCGCCTGTGCTGTGGGCCAGAAGTCTCTTCGCTGCCTGCTGCGCTCCTTCGGGTTGCCTCTCGCTGACCTCGGAGGCCTACCGAGGGCCTCCCGCGAGCTTCTCGGGGGGGCCTCCCTGAGGGCCTCTCGGAGAGAGGCTCCTCGGGGCCTCCTCCTGGGGCGGAGCACGCAGGGCGGGAACCAGGGCCGGCCTCCCGCCGGGAAGCTGGCCCGCAGACATCCGCAGCCGCGGCAGGGATGCAGACAGGGTGTCTCCAGGCTCTTTCCGCTCCGCGGCTGCTGGTCCCCCCCCCCTCGCTGGCGCCGCCCCGCCGCCGCCTGGCCCCGCTCCGAGCGGGCCCGGCCTCCTCCTCCCTCCTGCCGTCGCCGGGCGTCCTCCTCCTTTCCCCTGTGCCTCGCGACTCATGATTCACATCCGTATGTCCCGCATGCTGTTCCGCCAGCGCAGTCGCTCTGCCCAGCCGCCGACGAGGAGTGTTTCCAGGCTCGTGAGCAACGGGTAATCAGGGTGCCGAGCGGATCGTCGGTTTGGCGAAGTGAATTGGTGACGACTCTGAGACAGTTCACAGCAGTTGGGGGGTAGGATTAAGTCCCTACAGGGGGATTTTCGACGAAAACTAAATAATAACCCAAAAATAATCAAACAATAATCAATTTTTAAATATATTTGGAACATTTTGGGGTATTTTTGGGGTATTTTTACCTAACAGCGAAGACTGATAGGTTTCTGATGGTGTCAAAAGAGAGCATCTGATGACTCAGAAGGGAGGTCTGGGTGGCATCCGGACAGCGAGGGCCGGGCTCAGGGCCGGGCTCGTTTTAAGCAAACAGTCACACACTTCGTGCTCTTCGACCTCCCAGAACTCCATTCCCGGGCCACATTTTGAATGCCCGGAGCCAACTGTAGGCCACTTCGTGCTCTTCGACTTCCCAGAACTCCGTTCCCGGGCCACATTTTGGATGCCCGGGGCCAACTGTAGGCCACTTCGTGCTCTTCGACTTCCCAGAACTCCATTCCCGGGCCACATTTTGGATGCCTGGAGCCAACTGTAGGCCACTTCGTGCTCTTGGACTTCCCAGAACACCATTCCCGTGCCACATTTTGAATGCCCGGAGCCAACTGTAGGGCACTTCGTGCTCTTCCATTTCCCAGAACTCCACTCCCGGGCCATATTTTGAATGCCCGGAGCCAACTGTAGGCCACTTCGTGGTCTTCGAGTGCCCAGAACTTCACTATTGGGCATGATTTTGAATGCCCGGAGCCAACTGTAGTCCACTTCGTGTTCTTCGAGTTCCCAGAATTTCATTCCCGGCCCACATTTTGAATGCTGAGGCAGGATGATGCTTAGGCTGAGGCAGGCTGAGGCTGAGGCAGGCTGAGGCTGAGGCCGAGGCTGAAGGCAGACTGAGGCTGAGGCTGATGCAGGCTGAGGCTTAGGCTAAGGCAGGCTGAGGCTGAGGCTGAGGCAGGCTGATGCTGAGGCAGGCTGGGGCTGAGGCTGAGGCTCAAGCAGGCTGAGGCTGAGGCAGGCTGAGGCTGAGGCCGAGGCTGAAGGCAGACTGATGCTGAGGCTGAGGCAGGCTGAGGCTGAGGCTGAGGCAGGCTGAGGCTGAGGCTAAGGCAGGCTGATGCTGAGGCAGGCTGAGGCTGAGGCTGAGGCTGATGCAGGCTGAGGCTGCGGCAGGCCGAGGCTGAGGCCGAGGCTGAAGGCAGACTGAGGCTGAGGCTGAAGCAGGCTGAGGCTGGCTGAGGCTGAGGCCGAGGCTGAGGCAGGCTGAGGCTGAGGCTGAAGCAGGCTGAGGCTGAGGCTGAGGCTGAGGCAGGCTGAGGCTGAGGCTGAGGCAGGCTGATGCTGAGGCTGAGGCTGAGGCTGAGGCTGAGGCTGATGCAGGCTGAGGCTGAGGCAGCCTGAGGCTGAGGCCGAGGCTGAAGGCAGACTGAGGCTGAGGCTGAGGCTGATGCTGAGGCAGGCTGAGGCTGAGGCTGAGGCTGATGCAGGCCGCTGCGACTGTCATCGGAAATGCGACTACGACTGCGAGAACAGCAGAATTCTACAACTGGATTCTCATCTGAATCTTGAGGGGAATGTTTCCAGATATGCTCCTACACATCGCTGTTAGGTTGCTTTGCCGGGATAATTTATTTATCGTCGAAAATCCCCCTGTAGGGGGACAGGCCCGACTTAAGGGTATGAGAGACCCCCCTTCGAAATCGCAGGCTATAGTCGACGACGCCGTAGGACATGTGCCAAGGGGGTGCTGCGATGATTCCAAGACGGGCCTGGTGGGCTCCAGCGGCTCCAAGATGGGCTCGAATGGTTCACGATGCCGCCAAAAAGGGTCGTTTTTTTTGTTTTGTTTTCTTCTTCTTCTTGTTTTTTTGTGTGTTGTTGTTGTTGCTGTTGTTTTCTTCTTCTTCTTCTTCTTATTCTTCTTGTTGTTGTTGTTGTTGTTGTTGTTGTTGTTGTTGTTGCTGCTGTTGCTGTTGTTGTTGTTGTTGTTGCTGTTGTTGTTGTTGTTGTTGTTGTTGTTGTTGTTGTTGTTGTTGTTGTTGTTGTTATTGTTGTTGTGGTTGTGTGTTTTTTCGCTTCTCAGGTGTCACGAGGTTGGTCGACTTTTGGGGCCTTGGTGCAGCTACGTCGGGCCCATAAATCGTCAAGAGATCTATCCCGTCACATGGACACGCGTCTTTGCGCGATCGACGCCGCGTCTGCACGCGCGTTTTACGCGACGGATCCGGCCTCGGCCAGGCAAGGCAATGCTAGATGGCCTCCAAGATGACCTCCAAGATGGCATTCTGACCTCCAACCTCCAGCGTCCGGCTTTCGACTTCACCTCCACCTGTCGACCTCCAAACTACACCAGTTCAGCACTCCGATATACAGCTTCCAGCATCCGACTTTACACATCACCTCCACCTATCGACCTCAAGTCACCCAGGTTGACTCCTGAGGGTTCCGGCCACCCCGCGCCGCCCTCCTAGGGCTGGTCCCGCCGGACCGTCAACCCGCGCTCGTTTGCGCGCTCGCTCCAATATGGCACAATATGGTGCCATGTGATCTCCAGCATGCCTTCAGAATTGCTTCTCGACTGCCGCGAGGCCAGCCCGAGATTGTCGCGGAACCTCTCGCCCTGGAGAGGCCACAAGTTGCGAGAGCATGTTTTCTTCCCGATTCTTTGTGTCTTCTCGCCTTTTCGTCTCCGATTGTTTTTTAGGGCCTCAAGGCACGGTTGGCATTGGAAAGATAAACGTTCGATTTGGCGCTGCCAGCCCGCTTATTATGCGCTATCCCCCACCTGGAGGATGACATGCACCGAAGAAGCCCTGGCAGGGGATAGCGTGCACAGAAGGGGCCCTCGCGGTGGGATCGCCTCACAGGGATAGCGTACTTTCCGGAGGTCGATGTTGCACGCCATCTTTGCAGTGCCAACCGTAGTCGCAAAGGCAGGGCTCCAGACGGTCCCAAAGCATACTCTCGGTTTTTTATTCAGCGTGGGGGTGTACCCCCCCACAGGGGTCAACCTCGCCTCGCCGCCGCGCCGCGACCGGGGTCGGAGCGCCTTCAGCGCGCGGTGGCTGCCCGCGACGGGGGTCGATGTGGGGCTGTCGGCGGGGGTGACGCCCCCCCGTCGCTTGTTAAGAATGCTTTCCATAGCAAAACAATCGAATCCCAAGAAACCCAGGGCACCCTGGAGGCAAGCATGATGTTTCTTGGCACGGCCTCCACTGTACGATGGCACCAAGAATCGCTCGAGCTCTTTCAGCTCGCAGCCCGGTCGACGACGTCATCGGGCGTGGCGCCAGGACACGGCCCCCCGGCGGGCTCCAGCGAACTCGAGATGCCCCCCACAGAGGCTCGAAGATAGTGTTTGCGAGTTTTTTTTTGCATTTCCGAGTTGGCTCGATTGTGGTCCACTTCAGAGGCAATGTTTCAGGCGATCGCAAACATGGATCAAGGGGGCGTGGATTAGCGACGGGTCCCGTTTCCATGGGAAATCGCGGATTTCCGCCTCCGAACGAGCCGGCATCGGCCGCATTCTGGGGAGGGCACCTCCACCCGATCCATGGATTTGGCGACCGCGCGCCAAATCGATGGATCGCTAATCCATGTTTGCGCGCCCCCGAATGTTGGGGCTGGCTTCGCCGCGTATGCACGTGCGCTTACGCGCGAGCCACCCCTCCGCATGGCTGGGCGAGGGGGGGCGTCTTTCGGCGATGGATCCCGAAGGGGAAGCGGGGATTTAGTGAAGGCTGATCCGCTGAACTACATACGCCCAGCGGCTTGGTGGGATGATTCGACAGCCTGCGAACAGAGATGATGTGAGTCAAACCCCAGGAGGGATCAGTAGCAACAGCCAGCCTCTCGGGGCCATCGTCGGGCTTTTTTTGGAGCCCTAGAGGGGGGGCATCAAGTCAGCGTCACATTTTGGGAGTCCGAGCAAGTACCTCTTGGGACCATCCTGGGGTTCACTTGGGCTTCTCTTGGTGGCTTTCGGCGCCCTTTTGGATCCCGTGTGGGCCCATCCTACAGTTTTTTCAGGCCTCATAAGATTGTCGGAAACCGATCAGCCAAGCATGCCAAACTACTGGACGTTTAGCGTGGTTTCATGTTCAGTGGTTTTGTTATCAAGGCGGGTGTGATCATGCCATCGTGCGAGCGCAGATTCATTTCCTTGCCGTTCTTCGCATTTGCTTTCTGCGAAGTGCAACGAACAAACCCGAGCCTCGGCGCCAGACGGCGCGCGAGCAGGACAGGCTGAGATATTCATAGTGCCGAAAAGTGCGCCGAATATAAAAAGTAGTGTCATGAGACTTTGGCTTTGGCGTTTCTTGAGTCATGCGAGCCTAGTTTGTAGTGTGTGTGTGTGTGTGCGTGTGTGCGTCTGCGACACGTTTTGGCCCCCCCCCCCCCCCTCCTGTGGGGCTTCGGCGAGTTTTCTTTTGCCAGGGGAGTGCTCGGGGTGCGTTGAGGAGATCGCATGCTCCCCCTCAAACGAGATGCTGGGCCCCGGGGGACAGGGTGCAGCTGAATATCTCACGCGCCTTGTCGGCCCCAGCAGGCGGAGGTCGGCGGATCTGTGCACTGCGGGCGAGGTTCGCGTCGCCTGCTTGGGCGCAACAGTCGCCCCGAGCCGCGCTACCGTTGGCGCGCCGAAGCGCTGGCGGTGGACGCGGCAACCAATTTATCTTGTGTTGCTGTAAGTTCAGACTCGCCTTACTTCAGATTGCGCCGCTGACGTTGGCCAACAGACCCGGTTGATGCAGTGCTTATTTACAGTTTTTTTACACGGCAGAGCACTGGAGATAACCAGGAGTTACAGAAGTCAACGCAAGCGGTTCTTCAGTTCGGCGGCTGAAGTTGATTATTGCAGCCTCCATCCTCCATCTTTCGCTTCCTCGGAGGGTCTGGATCAGCAAGAGAAAACGGATCAAGAGCCAAGGAAGATTTGGAGGAGGAGTGGTACCAGGAACAGGGTGAGGATTTGGAGCGTACGGGGGGTTGGAGGAGGAGGAGGAACAGGAGGCGGAGGTCATGGAAGAGAGCAAGAGGAGGAGGAGGAGGAGGAGGAGGAGGAGGAGGAGGAGGAGGAGGAGGAGGAGGATGAGGAGGAGGAGGAGGAGGGGGAGGAGGACAAGCTAGGTGCGCTCGCGTCATATCTGACGTCCGAACCCTCCCTCCCATCCCTGACCATGGCGTGTATCTCCTCTCTATTCGCACAGTCGGATGTTGTAGCAGAGCATAGCATTACATGGCATAGCACGGTGTTGAAGATCAACGCGTATCCTGACATAGCATGGCGTGGCGACTCCCCAAATGGGGGGGCGTTTCTGCGGTCCAAGAAATCAGCGAATCGGCACCGAATGTGTAATCACTTCCGATGGTTGTTTCGGGGGGGCATGTTTTAGATTTTTGGACCTATTTGGAATGATCGAAAATCATGCCGTGGCATGGCGCCGGAGATAATGACGCCAGCGATGCAGCGGGAGCACGATTCGGAACGAGCGGAAGCGCGGAAATGAGGCCAGCCCTGCAGCGGGAGCACGATTCGCAACCAGCAGTAGCCCGAAAATGAGGCCAGCGCTTGGCGAGAGCAGAATTTCGAAGCAAAACCCAATCGAAAACCCGTTTCCCGGGAATCCCGTGTGTAAAAACCAGTACGCGAAGGGGGGAGAGGAGAATAGTATTCATATCGTGTAATTGTGGAGGAGGAGGAGTTTACGCAGAAGGCGAAGAAAGAGGAGCAGGACGAGGAGTAGCGGAGCGGAGTGTCCGAGTCCGCCGGCCGGGGGCCCCTTTGGGGCAGCGCGGGTGGGCGGGGGGAGGAGGAGGAGAAGGAGGCGGAGGATCAGAGTAAACCACAGATGCGTAAGCCATGCTGCACTACACCCTCCCTTCCCAAGTCCCGTCCACAAGTCCCCTCCTTTTCACTACAAGAATCCCCCCTGTGAAACGCCAGCACAGTTAGGCTTGCGTTGACAAGGAAATGCCTCGCTTTGAAAAGGAATTGTCTTCCATCTTTCCGTCGCGTAATCAGGAACGCCAAAAACAGTGATCATTCGGTTCCGCCAGGTGTCCAGCGGCAATTATCCCCCTTTCGAACAAGGACCGCCTCCTCAGTCGTGCAACTGTGGCACAAGTTTACATCGGTGGTCACAAATTTCGGGGGTTCTTTGACTGACAACTTCATTTTTGAAGAAGAGCCGCCGTGAATCCGTACATATCCACAGTCGACCTGCATAGTTGGGATGGGCCGCCTTCCCAAGGGTACCCTTGCATCCTTGCCTCCTCGGTCCACCCTTGACTCTCGCTGGCCAGCCTCGTTCGAACAGCGTGATCGTGGCCCTCCAAGGCACTTGCATCCTTACCGTGCATCCTTCTGATTCTTGGGCTTACGCCGCACCGCCGACCCCTTGGGACTCCTGGTAAGTCTCTCGGGGGCCTCCTGGCAGCACTATGAGGCCCTTTGGGGGCCGTTTTGGGGCCGCTTTTGGGCCTCTGGTGTGCTTTTGGAACCTTCTGGGTGCTTCTTGGGGGCCTCTTGGATCGTCTTGGAGGCATCGTGAGCTGTCTTGAGCTCATATTGGGGCACCTTGGAGCCACTGAAGGCCACGTGGAGGTCCTCTTGACCCGTCGTGGTGCGTCCCGGGGCCATTTCGAGGCCACCAGAGGGGTCCTCGCAGGATTTTCGGGAGCGGATGACCCCCCCGGGGGATCCGGCCAGACTCCCCCCCCCCCTTCCACATCGACCTGACCGGGCTCCCGGGGGAGGGGTTTGGGCCGATTCGGGAGCCTCTGGGGCCGTCTTGGCGCCGTTTTGGGGCGTCTTGGGCGCCTTGTGGGACTCTTTTGGGACGTCATGGGGTGGCCTTGGGGGCCTCGTAGACTGGCTGGAACTCCGTGCAGGCTGAAAAGTCGTCGATGCTAAAAGTGTACGTTTCCGCATGGAAAATCAATGATTTTCGCTGCTGTGGACCTTCTTGGAGCGCCCCTTCGGGGCCTCTTGGATCGTCTTGGAGCCATCGTGAGCTGTCTTGAGCTCATATTGGGGCATCTTGGAGCCAGTGAAGGCCACGTGGAGGTCCTCTTGACCCGTCGTGGTGCGTCCCGGGGCCATTTCGAGGCCACCGGAAGGGTCGCAGGATTTTCGGGAGCGGATGACCCCCCCCGGGGGATCCGGCCGGACCACCCCCCCCCTTCCAAATCGACCCGGCCGGGCTCCTGGGGGAGGGGTTTGGGCCGATTCGGGAGCCGCTTGGGCCGTCTTGGCGTCGTTTTGGGGCGTCTTGGGCGCCTTGTGGGACTCTTTTGGAACGTCATGGGGTGGCCTCGGGGGCCTCGTAGACTGGCTGGAACTCCGTGCAGGCTGAAAAGTCGTCGATGCTAAAAGTGTACGTTTCCGCATGGAAAATCAATGATTTTCGCTGCTGTGGACCTTCTTGGAGCGCCCCTTCGGGGCCTCTTGGATCGTCTTGGAGCCATCGTGAGCTGTCTTGAGCTCATATTGGGGCATCTTGGAGCCAGTGAAGGCCACGTGGAGGTCCTCTTGACCCGTCGTGGTGCGTCCCGGGGCCATTTCGAGGCCACCGGAAGGGTCCTCGCAGGATTTTCGGGAGCGGATGACCCCCCCCGGGGGATCCGGCCAGACTCCCCCCCCTTCCACATCGACCTGACCGGGCTCCCGGGGGAGGCGTTTGGGAAGGGGGAAGATCTCACACGCCGATGAACCCCAAGGGGTCGGCGGATTCGGGTTGACTGTACTCAGGAGGGAAAAACACAGACAAAATTAATCGTCAATTCCCCAGAAGATCTGGGAAAATATGGGAAGTGGGGGGAAGACAGAAACCCAGAAAATATGGGAACATATGGGGAATCCGGTTGTTTGTGTGTATTTATTTAATCGCTTCGCTCATGCCGCCGGCCCTGGAGCCCTCTTTAGGGCCTCTTGGGGGCCTCTTGGGGACCTCTTGGGAGTCCCTTGGGGCTCCTTGGCGGCGTTTTGGAGGCCCCCAGGGCCTCTTGGGGGGCTCTTGGGGGTAGTCGATTGCGGCTCCCCCCTCGGAGGCCACGATCCTCGTGAGGGGTGTCGAAAAATACCCTCCCCTGGAGTGGTCTGGTGGCTTCTCCCGGGCTTCTCTCGGGACCTTGCCGGGGTACTTTTCGTCCGGGGGCCCCCAGGGGCCGCTCCGCGCGCGCGAACTAGAAATATTGTTAACAAGTTACCGGAGATCTTAGCACGCCTCTGGCCCGTTGGGCCGGCGAATTTGTGTGTCCCAGGGCCCCTTCAGGTACGTGCGTTGAAGCTTCGGGCGCTTGAAACTCACGGAGTCCCAGGCGCGAGCTCCCGCGCGAGAAAGAGAGCAGCCATCCGTTCCTGCCAGACGCCGCGTTGAGCATCGCTCGCGCGCAGCGCTGCTGCGAGAGCCCCAGCTTCGGAACTGGTAAGTGCTCGATCTTTTACATGCTGCAAGGTTTTGAGACGAACGCTGGCGACGCTTAGGCGAGGGTCCGTTTTGAAAGGGAACCGCCCCCCATCCGTGAAAGCGCTGCACACTTCTGAGGCGAATGGGCGCGGCGCTAAGGCGAGAGCCACCTTTTGAAAACAACCCACCTTCCAGTCGTGAGACTGTTGCAAATTCTAAAGACGAGTTTGCACGGTGCCAAGGCAAAACCGATGTTTTGAAAACGGCCCCATTCCACCCGCGAAGCGGTTGCAAACTTTGAAGACGACTTGGCGCGGCACTAAGGCGAGGCCCACATTTGGAAAACGGTCTCACTCCACCGGCGAACCGGTTGCAAACGTTTGGGACGAATGTGTGCGGCGCCAAGGCGAGAGCCACACTCGAAAGGGAGCTGCCCTCCACCCGCGAGGCTGTTGCGCGGCGCTGCGGCGATGGCCACATTCTGGAAGGGCCCCCCCCCCCGTCCATCCGTGAAGCTGCTGCATATCTTGTGAGGCGACTCTGTGCGCGGCGCCGACGCGGATGCCACATCTGGAGGACGGCCTCCCCCATCTCCCGGCGCGGGGAGCGCCCCTTGGCGGCAGCCAGGAGGGCTCCCAAGCTATCGCCCAAGCCCAGCACGGCACCAATTTAATGGGGATGCATGGATAAGCGTCGCAGGATGCGACGCGCAGCGGCGACCACCCCGTGGCCATCGAAGGCAACCTGGTCGCCCATCCGTGAAGCTGCAATCTGTGAAAGCCAATGCGAACGGCGCTAAAGGAAGAGTCATCGTCGCGGTTAGCGTGGCGGTCGTCGTCGTCGTCGTCGTCGCCGTCGTCGTCATCGTCGTAGTCGTCGTCCTCGTTGACATCGAAAGCACGAATTTCCCCCGCCAGATATCACTCAACCGCGATGATCCTTCTTCTCCTCCTGCTCCTCCGCGTCCCCCTTCTGCCACTTCTCCAGCACCTCCTCCGAGCCTTCAGGGGGGGGGCTTCCACCAGTCAAACTGTTTCAAGTTTCAAGCTTCAGGGTTGTAACTGGTGAGGAAGTCTGAGGCGTAACGCCCGGCCCGCCCCACCGACACGTCTGGGGGTGCGACAGGGAGGATTCATTGGTTAGGAAGGGGGATGGAGGAGGAGGAGGAGGAGGAGGAGGAGGAGGAGGAGGAGGAGGAGGGGCAGGATGAACAGGACTGGTTGGAGGAGAGCGACCGGTTGGAGGGAGAAAGGGTGACTACCTTTTGGGCACACGGCCAGGGCGAATTTGAGTGGAGTTACGCCAGGGAGGAAAACTACCGCTCCCAAATACCCTTCTTGTCCGCATCTTCCGTTTCTTCCTCCTTCTCCTGCCTGGCCACGCTCCATCTTCTTCTCCAGCCCACTGTCTCCTCTCTCCATTCCTCCTCCCCTTCCTCCCCCTGCTGCTGCTCCTCCCCCTCCAGCCTCGAGCCTCCTCCAGCCCCCCTCCCCCCGGTTTTGTCCTCCCCCCCAAATTCTTTTGGTCCCGCGGCGCGTGCGGACGCGCGTGGGTTTTGGGGCCGAGCGGCTCACCGCACCATCCTCCTCCTCCTCCTCCTCCTCCTCCTCCTACTCCTCCTCCTCCTCCTCCACAATTACACAATATGAATACTACTCCTACTCTCCTCTCTCCCCTGGTGGTGTCCGGGGAATGGCTGGCCCCGCTCCGCGCACTGTTGTTTACACACAGAATTCCCGTTTTTTTTTGTAAATGCTGCACTCGCTGAAGCGCTGGCCTCATTTTCGGGCTACGGCTCGTTCCGAATCGTGCTCCCGCCACAGCGCTGGCCTCAATTCCGCTCGTTCCGAATCGTGCTCCCGCTGCATCGCTGGCGTCATTATTTCCAGCGCCATGCCACGGCATGGTTTTCGGTTCTTCCAAACAGGCTCCAAAATCTAGAAAATGCTCCCCCGAAGAAACCATCGGAAGTGATTACACATTCGGTGTCGATTCGTTGATTTATTGGCTTACGCCGCACCGCCGACCCCTTGGGGCGGCAGCAAGAGTGAAAGACAGAATTCGCGGAACGCGCGCGATCGCTGCGCAATCTTGGGGCTTCGGCCTGTCCTACGTAGCGTGTGGGGTTCAAGGGGGGGCCTTGTAGGACTGTTTTGACGTTTTTCGCGGTCTTATGTGAGTTTCTTGGGGCTTTCACGGGGCCTGTCCCAGGCCTCCTGTTCCACCTCTTGGATAGACTCGGGGATCGTTGAGACCCAGCTGGGGTTGCGTGCGGCCAAAAGTTCGAGAGGACCCAGCTGTGTCGACGAGGAGCTTCCTGAAAGCCCAGAGGGGGCGGAGAGCGCCCAAGAACTAGGAGTCTCATGCCTCGAGCGTCGATCCACCCCGTGTTCCTTCCTTTGCGAAGGGGTGGCACCGGCCAGGGAGGTCGATCCTCATCCCGGACTTTCGGCAGGGGTCCCTGGCACGAAAACGGTTCTTGGAGGCTGAGTTCGATGAGATGCCTCGGGTGGTCGAAAGACCACGAAAATTTGTGAGACATCGGTGGCAATGACGAAATCGTCTTCCTCTTCCTCCTTCTCCTCTTCCTCCTCCTCGTTCTTTTCCTCTTCTTCTTCTCGATAGAGGTAGATGCCCGCGGCAGTTCATATGTATGTATGTATGTATGTATGTATGTATGTATGTGTGTGTGTATGTCTGTCTGTCTGTCTGTCTGTCTGTCTGTCTGTCTGTCTGTATGTCTGTCTCTCTGTCTGTATGTATGTATGTATGTATGTATGTATGTGTATATGTATGTTATGTAATGTACTCTAATGTAATGTAATGTATTGAAATGTAATGTAATGCAATGCAATGTAATATTATGTTAATGTACATGTTACTGTACATGTTAATATACATATAAATGTACATGTAAATGCACATGTGCATGTTAATGTACATGTAAATGTACATGTGCATGCACATGTACATGTACATGTACATGTAATGTATTGTAATGCAATGTAATGTAATGTAGTGTAATGTAATGTAATGTAATGTAATGTGATGTAATGTAATGTGTGTCTGTCTGTCTGTCTGTCTGTCTGTCTGTCTGTCTGTCTGTCTGTCTGTCTGTCTGTCTGTATGTATGTATGTATGTATGTATGTATGTATGTATGTATGTATGTATGTATGTATGTATGTATGTATGTATGTATGTATAATATATCGGAGTAGGGCCCCGGGGCGGTGCCTGTCATCTCCATGTGGGGGTGCAGGGCGCCCCCGGGAGCGTCCGAAGCGTCCCGGAGGGCCCCTGGGACCGCCAGGAACAGTTCGAGACCGCCCAAGACGGCCCGCGAGCGCTCCAAGACGCGCATAGATAGCCGCAGGAATGGCCAGGAAGGCCCGAAGACGTTCCGAGAGAGCTCCATGAGGCCCCGAAGGCATCCCAAGAGGCCTCCCAAGAGAGGCCGGCAAGCCAACATCGTTGATTTTTATTGTTTTTTTCTAGGTTTTTGGCCTTCTCGCTTTTTCGGGGTTCCGACGCTCCATGGCCGTCCAAGAGTCTCCCAAAACCGCTCCAAGACGGCCGAAGAGGCCCCCAAGACCGCCCCAAGACGGCCCAAGAGACCCCCAAAATCGTCCCAAGACGGCCCAGGAGAGCCCCAAGATGGCCCAGGAGCCGCCCAAGACGGTTCCAGGAGTGCCCCGACAGGGCTTCAAGACTGCCTAAGCGAGCCCAGCGGTCCCCAAGAGGGCCCCGCGAGGCCCCAAGAGGCCCCAAAGAGGCCCCCAAGAGCCTCCCCGAAGGCCCCCAGAGGCCCCCAAGATGCCCAAAAATGGCCCTGAGCGCGCCCCAAGACGCCTCCAGGAGAGCCCCACAGGCCTCCGAGAGGCCCCAAAGAGGCCCACTGGAGGCCCTCAGGAGGTCGTCCCCATCATGTTCCCGGAAGGCGGTCCGGGAACATGATTCCGCGCCTTGGAGGAGTATTCTGCGCCTTCCGAGGCGCCTTGGACGACGTACGATTCATATTCTTGAACGCTTTCCGGGAACATGATTTCTCACCGTTTCGGAACGTTTTCCTATTGCTGCGGTGCTCTGGGGGGAAGGGACGGGGGTCCGGGAACATGATCGGGAGGTTAGGGAACGAGGGTTTGGAGAGGAGCAGTAGGACAGACGGACGGGGCCGGGGGGCGGGGGTGGGGTGGTGCCACCGGTTGGCATGGCCGCCCCGGGCGTCCTGTGGGGTCCACGAACCCGCCCAAGACGGCCCATGAGGCCCCAAAGACAGCCCAAGAGACCCACAAGACAGCTTCGGCCCGAGATGGCTTGAATTGAAGATGGCCGAAGACGGCCCCAAGAGGGTCTTCAAGAGGCAAACACCGGCCTATTTCCATTCGTAAAGCATATATTTTCAGCATGCTCGTTTGCTTGGTCCTCACAGTGCCCCAGACACCCCCGAGCCCCAAGACAGCCCAAGAGAGACCCAAGAGGGCCCACGACGGCCCAAACGGGTCGTCCTGTGAGGCTCACGGAACCCCCCCAAGACGGCCCAAGAGGCCCCAAAGCCGGCCCAGGAGGCCCCCAAGACGGCCTCAGGAAGGCCCAAGAGGGCCTCTTTCGAAGTCATGTTACCGGAAGCCTCTCCGGGAACATGATTTCCGGGTCTAGGACGCCCAAGAGGGCCTGAAACGGCCCCGAAAGGTCCTAAATGGACGTTCAAAAAGGCCCGGATGGCCACAGTTCGTTGATTTGCGTGAGATGTTGTTGGGTTTCCTCCGCGCAGAGGAGACGGAGAGGGCGAAGGAGGAGGAGGAGGAGGAGGAGGAGGAGGAGGAGGAGGAAGAGGAGAAGGAGGAGGAGGCAGGGAGGAGGAGTGGAGGGGAGGAGGGGGGGAGAGAGGAGGAGGCTCGAGGGCGATCGACGATCGGCGACGACGACCGTCGACGGTGATTGCCGACGACGACGACGATGACGACGACGACGACGATGACGACGACGACGACAACGATCGACGACGGTCGACGACCGACGACGACGACGATCGACGACGATGACAACAGTCGACGCCGCCGATCGACGATCGACGGCGACGACGACGGCCACGCCGACGGCGGCGACGCTGCCCGTGTGACAGCCCAAGAGGCACACAAGACAGCCTCATCGAGGCCCCAGAGGGCCCCAAGACGTCCAAGAGCGCCCCAAGAGGGCCCGAGATGGCTTGAAGATGGCCGAAGAGGGCCCCAAGAGGGCCTTCAAGAGGCAAGACTTTACCCATTTTTCTCGTAAGCGTACAATTTCAGCATACTCGCTTGCTTCGTCCTCAGAGTGGCCCCCGAGGAGCCCCAAGACAGCCCAAGACGGCCCAAAAGGCCCCAAAGCCGGCCCAGGAGGCCCCCAAGACGGCCTTAGGGAGGCCCAAGAGGGCCTCGTTCGAAATCATGTTCCCGGAAGCTTCTCCGGGAACATGATTTCCGGGTTCCCAGGACGCCCAAGAGGGCCCCAGGACGGCCCCAAAAGGGTCTAAAATGACATTCAAAAATTCCCAGAGGGCCACAGTTAGCTGATTTTCGCGAAATGTTGTTGGATTTCTTCCGCGCGGAGGAGACGGAGAGGGCGGAGGAGGAGGAGGAGGAGGAGGAGGAGGAGGAGGAGGAGGAGGAGGAGGGGGAGGAGGAAGAGGAAGAGGAGAAGGGCGAGGCGG